CCCCCCTGAAAACCTAAATAAATAAATACACAATTAATTTTTAGTCAATAAATTACAAAAATGATTTTGAATTGTGGCAAATGACATAATTATGTGTGGCAATTATTTCATGGTTCATGCTTTAAAGGGGAGATGTTCTTTGGGCAGTTTTAGGCAGAGAACCACGTGATCATGAACTCAGGAGATCAGAAAGCTTAGAAGCAATGATGAAAACATATTACAGGTAATCACCGCACCTGGGAGTGCCGCAGGAAAGCTTCTTTCCATGAATCCAGATTTTATGATATTATACTGCTTAAAAGCTCCTTTGTAAACTCTGTCCCTGCCACTCGATGTCAGTGACAAACTCGCAACATTTACAAAAAGTAATCTAAATGTTTTTCTTTCTGCAAATGTGTCGTCTTCAAACACACAGATAAATTCTGCATTTCCTTGTGGACAGTGTGAGTTTCACAGCAGGTGAACTGTAAGAGTGAGATGTTTTTATGTTGTCATTTGTGCTTAGAAATATATGATCGTTTGCATGCTGATCAAAGTCATATGCTTATTAGGTCTGATAAGACTGTGTGCGAGGAAGCAGCCTTGACGTTGTAATTATAGCTGTTGATACCAGACTGTTCTGTTTCTTGATGTGCAAGACTTCACACCTTTACATGTGTATTTGAGATATGACCTATTGCAAGTTCCTGTTTTTATAGTTTAGTAAGACGCTTACTTCTACTACTTCTATGTCTATGTATAGTATGGCTGGAAACACACACACACACATGCACCTACACACACAGAATACAGACACTGATGTTGTTCAGAGATGCCTGTTTGAGAATGTCCTGTGTATTTGTAATTGCATATTCATGAATGATTGCTTGCTGAGAATAACAAGGGCTGTAGCGAAGGAATCAGTTGAAGTTGGCTGAGTTCAGGTGAAGGAAACTTTGGCTGACTTCCCTCGCGAGCCACAAACACGGAGAGCGCCTTCTTGCCTTGTTTGTCGTGCAGTTGTTGGTCTCGCGTTCCAGCGGGTTTTGTGCCCAGATAAACCCAACATGAACGCAGACCGATGAAGCTCAGCAGCAGCTTCTTCCAGAATCTTGTTAAAAATCTCAGTTTTCTTGTAGCTTAACATAACTTTAATTAGCTTTCATCCTCCTGGTTGTTAAAACCAGGAGTAATCCACAGCACGGCGAGGAGGCTGGCAGCTCTCCTGTGGGGGCCCCCGCAGGTCCGCCTGGTGGGATGGGAGAGCCTGTAGCACCCAGAGGACGCCCGAGGGTCCTCTAATAGGATTACAGGTGAGTCCGATGGGTTTCCAAAGAGGGAATTAGGCTGTGTTAAAGTCAGAGGCGGGAGCCGCAGGGCAGAGGCCGAAACGCCACCTCTATGTTCTCCTCCATGATGATGTCGAAGCGGCACATCAAAGGCCTGAAGGAGAAAAAAACGTATCTGTTAATACAAACTGTAGCCTTTGAAGTGGACTTATTCTGCTTTTCCTTCGTCTCCTGTTCCAGTGCAATATCAGACATGGCCAAAGTGTCAAATAATGTCGGCATATTTACAGGTAATCCCAGTTATTTTGTATATATATGTGTACATATATATATATATATATATATGTACACATATGTAGCCTACGTCTCCTTAAAGCCTACGTCTCCTTAGAGGCGTAGGCTTTGGAGAACAACAGTTTAGTTTTGTTTCCTTTTAGGATGTCACAGGTCAGACTGAGAGAGACACCTCCACATAGATTTTGAGACAGTTTATCTTCTAAGACTGGTTCCTATTCAGAAACAGTAAAACTAGATCCACCGACCTCTCAGGAAGCTCCAGTGGCGTGAAGCGGACTCGCAGCAGCCGGATTTTGTAGCGAGGGCCGATGACGTTGCCGGTGTTGATTCGTAGGGAGATCTTCTGGATGTGCTGCAGATCCTCATCGAACTGGGCCAGCAGCCGTGTGGAGGTGTACTGCTCAAACCGGAGCAGCTTACTGTGCGCAGAGACGAGGAGACCGTAAGGTTTAACTCATTAATTTAAAGTCTGTATTTGTGTGTTTATGTTGGAAAACAAGAAACACAAAAAACTGAAAGATGACTTTTATCTCCTTTGCTAAGATTATTTATTTACATATCTATCTATCTATCTATCTATCTATCTATCTATCTATCATATTCTATTCTTTGAGTCTATCTATCTATCTCTCTAAATCATATTTATCTCTATTCTATCTTATCTATCTATCTATTATCGTTAACCCCGCTAGCCTAGCTGCTATCTATTATCTGATCTCAACATACTCTAGTATATTAAGTGGGGCAAAAAAGTATTTAGTCAGCCACCGATTGTGCAAGTTCCCCCACCTAAAATGATGACAGAGGTCAGTAATTTGCACCAGAGGTACACTTCAACTGTGAGAGACAGAATGTGAAAAAAAAATCCATGAATCCACATGGTAGGATTTGTAAAGAATTTATTCGTAAATCAGGGTGGAAAATAAGTATTTGGTCAATAACAAAAATACAACTCAATACTTTGTAACATAACCTTTGTTGGCAATAACAGAGGTCAAACGTTTACTATAGGTCTTTACCAGGTTTGCACACACAGTAGCTGGTATTTTGGCCCATTCCTCCATGCAGATCTTCTCGAGAGCAGTGATGTTTTGGGGCTGTCGCCGAGCAACACGGACTTTCAACTCCCGCCACAGACTTTTTCCACTTACCCAAGCCATGATTTCTTATGCGCTTGGTCTGGCATACGGCTCTCTTGGGCCAAGCAACTTGCTATCGCTCCGTCTAAGGCCAACTCCTTACCCGGGACTTTCAAATGCTTCTTACGGAGCCACTCCTTTGTTGCCCGGGCGGTGTGTTTTGGATCATTGTCATGTTGGAAGACCCAGCCTCGTTTCATCTTCAAAGTTCTCACTGATGGAAGGAGGTTTTGGCTCAAAATCTCACGATACATGGCCCCATTCATTCTGTCCTTAACACGGATCAGTCGTCCTGTCCCCTTGGCAGAAAAACAGCCCCATAGCATGATGTTTCCACCCCCATGCTTCACAGTAGGTATGGTGTTCTTGGGATGCAACTCAGTATTCTTCTTCCTCCAAACACGACGAGTTGAGTTTATACCAAAAAGTTCTACTTTGGTTTCATCTGACCACATGACATTCTCCCAATCCTCTGCTGTATCATCCATGTGCTCTCTGGCAAACTTCAGACGGGCCTGGACATGCACTGGCTTCAGCAGCGGAACACGTCTGGCACTGCGGGATTTGATTCCCTGCCGTTGTAGTGTGTTACTGATGGTGACCTTTGTTACTTTGGTCCCAGCTCTCTGCAGGTCATTCACCAGGTCCCCCCGTGTGGTTCTGGGATCTTTGCTCACCGTTCTCATGATCATTTTGACCCCACGGGATGAGATCTTGCGTGGAGCCCCAGATCGAGGGAGATTATCAGTGGTCTTGTATGTCTTCCATTTTCTGATGATTGCTCCCACAGTTGATTTTTTCACACCAAGCTGCTTGCCTATTGTAGATTCACTCTTCCCAGTCTGGTGCAGGTCTACAATACTTTTCCTGGTGTCCTTCGAAAGCTCTTTGGTCTTGGCCATGGCGGAGTTTGGAGTCTGACTGTTTGAGGCTGTGGACAGGTGTCTTTTATACAGATGATGAGTTCAAACAGGTGCCATTCATACAGGTAACGAGTGGGGGACAGAAAAGCTTCTTACAGAAGACGTTACAGGTCTGTGAGAGCCAGAGATTTTCCTTGTTTGAGGTGACCAAATACTTATTTTCCACCCTAATTTACCAATAAATTCTTTACAAATCCTACCATGTGATTCATGGATTTTTTTTTCACATTCTGTCTCTCACAGTTGAAGTGTACCTCTGGTGCAAATTACTGACCTCTGTCATCATTTTAAGTGGGGGAACTTGCACAATCGGTGGCTGACTAAATACTTTTTTGCCCCACTGTATTTCATTAAAGTTTTCATTGACTCAGAATTAAAATTTAAAGTCAACTATTTTCCTTCTTTTCATAAATCCAGTCTGTGTGAAACAGCAGAAAGACTCACTGGTCTATTCGGGCCTCTGTGACGTTCCTGCCGCTGTGCAGCCGGATGTAGACGACCCCCCAGCGCAGGTACTGGTTCCATGTCACCATGTCCACTCTGTACATCAGCTCTGACACACACGGGACACACACAGCGTTAAAATCCAACAAAACACTTGTGGAATACGCCAGGCACAAACACACGCACACACAGGTATGTACTGCCAACTTCCACATTTATTGACTCTTTGTGTTATGACAGCTGACTCAGTCACACAGTCTGACAGCTCACGAGCCCAGCTGATCTCTCTCTGGCCGCTCCTCCTCGTCTCACTATAAACACAGCGGAGGGAGACCATCATCAGTCCATAAACAACATCAGCTGTTCTTACCGGCCTCGCAGCGCCGCCCTGTTGAGCCTTCCGCTCCACTCCTCCCCTGCAGCTGCGCCCGGGGCCACGCCTCCGCCACAACCACCGTTCAGCGGATCATCACTCCTTTCTATTAAAAGGTCCTAAAATATTTTTTCTTAAAAAAGTCCAAGCACATATTGTAGGTGGGGTCCCACAGTGGGGTCAGCATCCACAGAGTCCAAATCCTTCTTTAACTCTCTGATGTCCAAGTCCTAACCTCAAATCCTTAACTCTGTGCTCACGTAAATATTGTGATATAGAGTGATTTATTTTGGCTTTTTGAAATTGTTCTTTCAAGTTCTGACAGTCAGAGTACAAAATCATAATAATCATTCTTGTCGACGCAAATTTAAACTCTTAATAAAATAATTACATTATAATTTAAAGTCAAATCCTGTTTTTACTGCTGAAATCAAACCATTTGGGACATTTACTGAACCAGCACATGCTACAGTGCTGTGCTTTTAATCTGGCTATAGATAGGTGGTTGCTAGGCAACATGATACATCATGCGTAATGAAAGTTTTGTCAATATATTATTAAATATATTAAAATGATACAATGCTTTTCTAAGGTTACAGGTGCATTAACACTATGACTGAGCCAGTTTAGCCTGCTGATTGGTGGTTGCTAGGGAACACAATAACGTAATAATACCTGATGTAGATACGAACCGTCAGGGCCTAAGTTTGGTTGATCAAGTTCTGCTTGTGTGGCAAACAGACAGGAAGTGCATTTATTTATGTGAAATTTAAAGGCCCAAAAGAGTCTACTCTGACCCGTGCAAAAGAAACAAAAACTGTGTGGCAAGATCATTTTAAACCTTGTTTTTGGGACAAATTAATCACATGTTAGGACGTCCCTGGCTTGAGGTTATGCCTTTCTTTTCATTTAGTTAGCAGCTTCAAAATTGTGGACCCCCATCACGGCGCCAGCTGCAGCCTCAAGGCTGGAGCCAAACAATCACTCCCAGATAACGACTGTGTTATGACTGTTCTTCCCACTCCATGCAAGGCCACCTGGGTTGGCTGGAAGACTGTTTACTTAGCCTGGCGGGGCGAAGGACACTGTCTCAGCTGAACTCTGGACACACACACACACACACACACACACACACACACACACACACACACACACACACACACACACACACACACACACACACACACACACACATACACTGATGTGCACACACGGATGCGCTGTCTACACCGGCTCTCTCTTACCCTTTACCCGCCCCTGTTGCTTGTCTTGTGTTTCTATGGTGTATTGATAGTCATGTGCTTTTTGTGCTGAGGTGTTTTTTCTGTTATCAAACTGTTCTCCCACTAGGAGCTCAGTCTGAGTGGAGTTTTTTTTCTCCTCCTCTTACCTCATGTTATGTATTTTCGTTGTTTTTTTCCTATCAGCCTACCTTTCTGACATGTCTCCCCAATGTGATGTTTGTGTAAAGTTGGTCAGAAGGTTCCTTTGTAAGTGCGCATGCGCCATTAGCGTGCTGCCTGCTGTAACCCTAATTTCCCTCGGGATTAATAAAGTATTCTGATTCTGATTCTGATAACCACCAGGGCAAGTCTGTGCTGCAGCTGCGACTCACTATAGGAGGACGTCGCTCCCAGTGTTAGGGGCATTGAACGCATCCTACAGCGAAATTCCATTCTTTTCAAAGTCTGCTTCACCTGAGACGTGAATTTTTATGAGGTTCGTGTGTCATACTTACTCTTGTAGGGCAGCGCGCCGGTGGTGCTGAAGAAGACTTTGGTCTGTCCGAGCTGCTGCAGAGTCTCCCTCCACGGGCTGACGTCATAACCTGCAGGTGAAGCGTACAGGTGTTAAGATCAGGTGCCTGATAGATGTCCAGCATCTTAATGAAACAAATACGAACACTTTCTGTGAGTTACTGGTCGCTAAGTAGCAGGTTATCACTGACGACTAGCTCATCAGCGCCCCCTGATGCACCCCAGCAGACCTGCAGCTAATTTCTGTGAACAGGCTTCTTTAAATCTGTGCTGTTTAAAGCTTCAGAACCAATAGGTGTCGTCACAATGGTGGCTCCATCTTTTATATACAGTCTATTAGTCTGCAGCCGAGATCTAATTCTGTTTTCTCTGAAGCATCACTTAAATTTAGATTCCTTGAAATGGGTGCAGAATCGCCCGTAGAGCAAATTTAAACTCAGATGAACTTTCCTGATTGAGACGATGGAAAACTTGCTCACTTAAGCCAAGTTCTGGATTAACGGGATTAATTGCAGAGTATTTATCTGCAGGGGAAGAACAGCTTTTGTAAACATTATGTAGCAGGAGATTGATTATTTTCTTAATGGTTTCCCTCTCACGGTCATTCAGTGTCAGCACCCACCGAGTACGGGGCAGGAGGCCGGTTTGAAGGTCTCGCACTGCAGACAGCGGGCGTCCAGGAAGTCGCTGTAGGACGAGCAGGGGTAACCGGTGAGGGTGCAGGTTCGGTTCAGAGCGCACAGGAACAGGAAGACGGAGCGCTGATGGTCGCACACAAAGTAAGATTTACCTGGAGGACAGAGATCACACTGCGCTCAGCACATGTGTGTTATTTAATGTGTGTGTGTGTCTCCCTAGTTTGTGTGTGGGCTCACCTGAAAAGATGGTTTTGGGACACCCCGGCTGGTCGGCGCCTCCGTTGGCGTAGAAGTCAATGTGGCCATGAGCTCCTCTCAGTCCAAAGGCTGCGCACGGAGAGCACAGCGTGTAACAGAGCGACTCTTACATGAGGTCACGAAGGTTTATTGCTTTTTAATAAACACTTTCTAGGTTCATAGAAAGGTAAGATGTGTTAAATATAACTAGAATTAATTAAAATTGTATTAACATTTTCATTCAGTTATATAACTATATTTATATAACTTGCTACTAATAATTTAAGAAAAAAAATGTTTATAAACAGAATTATCTCTACTTCTAATGCCAGCCCTTTTTTATTAATAAAAATGTGGAATATTTCCAAGTAACAGTAATAATTCACAATAATATTCATGCTTTTAGTTTATGTAAAAGCATATTAATACAAATAAGTAAAATATAATTAAATATATGTCTGAATAATTTATGATCAACAGATTTTGTTTATTGTTCCTCGCACCATGACAACTAAAAGCTATTTATTTTCCAGTTGCTTTCTTTGTGTGTAAATGATCAAAGTAATAAGGGTCAATATTAAAATGATATTAAATCACTATTTAAATTATTATTAATTCTGCGTTAGATGCTTACAGTTCATGTCGGTGTGAAGGACGTCCACAAACATGGCGTCCGAGGGGTCCAGCCTCTCCTCTGGCGTGGCCCTGGTGAACATCGGTCCAGCAGGGTCCAGACCTGGACAAGAGGAAGGAAAGAAGGGAGGAAGGAAAGAAGGGAGGAGGTATGTGAGTGCTTTTGTAGTTTTCCGCCTGCTCACTCCACAGCGCTGCTTTCATTAAACTGAAAGGTTAAGAACATCTGTCATAAATACATGATAATGAAGTACATTTACTCGCATACTGCACCGCTCTGAGTACTTTATTTTACCTGTGATACGGCCAATCTTCCCCTTCAGGTTTGCTCCCACAAAACCAGCCAGGTGAGCTCCCAGACTGACGCCGATCAGGTGAACTGAGCTCAGAGAGGCTCCTTCAGCCTGTGGGCACAAAAGCTCAGCGTTACAGGTGAGGTATAACTCTGTCATAAAGAACTTTTAAATATACAGGATAATAAAGGACATGACAGAACTGCTGATTTTCATACAGACATGTCTTCTAATCTCTTTTTCTTTACTAAAATTTAATGTGCCCACACAGTGGCGGAAATACCAAAAGCACCAAAACTTAGATCCATTCTTAAGTACTTGAAGGACCTGTAATCTGGGAAATATTTAATACTTGTCATTTAAAAACATCTGTAGACTGGCTGAACTGGTAATTCTAGGCTTTGAGTCGGACTTCTTGGGTAGAGAAATGGATTTGGTGCCATTTACCAGCATTTTAATGTATGTTTCTGATAAATAACACATTAGTTGAATGAACAATCTGTCCAAAGTTTGTGAAGTTTTATGTATTCTGTTTTGTGTCTTTGCATTGCATTGGTACACTTTGCCAACTGAGACTACTAGAAACAACTTGAACCATGGCCACTGCTGGCTCTAATAATCCTAGATGGTGAGAACCGTGAAGCTAAAGTGGACGTTCAAATCTCAAACTTATGAGTGATGCCGCTTCTATTGGTCTATTTGTTCAACAATAGACTGCAGGATGATTACAGGAAGGGAAAATAAAGGTCTGGGCTGAAGGTCTGTCTCACCTCCATCGTCATGATGAAGCCTGTCAGGTTGAGAGCGGCCTCTCTGGTGTAACTCACAGCAGTGAAGTAGTTAAGGTTGGCTGCCCCTTTGTTCCAGTCCACCACGATGATGTTCATGTCTTCCTGCTCTGCTAGCAGGTGGACTATGTGGTTGATCCAGATAGGGGGCGCGCCGGTGGGCCGGTAGCCATGGATGACAAAGGCGGTGGGACGGGAGAGGCTGAAGAGCGGCTGGGAGGACAGGTGGTGGTGGTTCAGTTCGCGGCCACAGTCGAGGTTGGAGCGAGTGTAGAGCAGGAGCCGCACATACAGGGTGGTTCCCACGAAGCAGTGGGTCAGGTCGAGGTCGGTGAAGTTATCACAAGATTCGCCTGCTTCACTTTCCTCCTGGCCTGGAGTCACAACATGGAAGATCAGGAAGTTGTATTGCAAACTCAACTTTTACAGATGAATTCAGGTTTTATGTAGAATTAAAATGAAAAACGGGTCCAAAGTTTCTACAGGCTACAGTGGGAATATTTGTTTCATCCATTTCAGTTTAGTAGATTTTTTTATATCATTTTAAAGCTAAGGCACTAAAAAATTTCAAGGTAAAGAGTCAATGATACTAATGAGCCCCAACAATCAGTCTGACTTCTGTAGACCGCAGCTCTACAGGAATACCACTTTTTGTAGCTAAATAACAGCTTCAAGCAGACAGCCAGTGTCATCATCCTGGATGATTCACAAACTGAATCATAGATTCAGGCTGACATTAGAGGCACAATCCACAGACAGACAGTAACAGGTTCAAAAACTGAAACTGCAGCAGTTTGAAAGTCATTTCATTTTTTAGCTTCTTCACATTACTTTGGATTGTGTTAAATGAAAAATAAAGACTATTAATGACTCATTTTATGTTATTATGTAATAAATGGTTTTGAATTCAGATAATAGCCTATCTACTGACAGGTTTGCTAGTTAGAGTTAATTAATTAATTAAAAGTAAGATTTAGTTAGTTAGCTTAAGCTAACTAGTTTAAGCCAAAATACTGTCATCAGCAGTGTTGTTTCATTTTACACACTCGTCCCTCTACAAATAAACCATAAAATAAAAAACATCTCAAACTGCTTGCTAAAACCAACGATTAATGTTGTGTTGCGGTCTACGTCTTAAATTAACATTAGCTACATGCTAAAGCTAGCTAGTTAGCTTTGTAGTTATATAAATGAGCTGATTTATGCAGCCAGTGACAAAATATAGGATTTGTTAGTGCCTTTTTTGAATTAATAAAGTGTAGACAGTCTCTGTAGTACTTCTTTTGTAGTTTGCAGAAACATTAGCCTAATATTAGCTTAACACAGATGCTATTTCTATTTTAGTAACAACTTTTGTCGGACCGCTACATGAATTGGGACTTGAGTCTAAACCTTCTGGGACTGTATTCTCCTATTGAACTTGTTCCATCTCAGAGGAGAGATGAAAGGTATCTTTGTTTTCCATAATAATTTGTGAAAACTTCATCTGTCATAAATCACAGATAACTGAGCAAAGAAACTTTTTGAGAAACTCATTTTTTTTTTGCTAAATTTGGTCTGAATATGAAGTAGAAACATTTTCTTCTGCAAATATGATATAAAGTTGAGTTTAAAGATGGCCTGTTATGTTTTTCCTTATTTAATTTACACAAATAATCCCCAGTCTAAATGTACTGCTTCACACAGAGGGGACAGCCTTAGGCACAGAAGCCCCACCCATCTGATGCTTGAACCTTCTGATTAAAAGGGGCTTCCAATCACAGTGAGGGACGGAATAAATTCCTTGTTTCAGACAGAAACAGGATGAATTGAGGGGCTACACTCAGGTCCAGTATGAGATAAATAAGGATTATTTTGCTCTCTGAATTTTGCAATACTAATGTGGATATATTTGTATATTTTATCTTTTTTGAATTGGGACTGCTCATATGTATATAGTGCCGCAGAACTGTGCACCTTACCGCCCCTCTCTTTTCCCACGTCTGCGCGTCTCATCGTACATGTGCATATTGACAATAAAAGGTATTCTATTCTATTCTATTCTATTCTATTCTATTCTATTCTAGTAAAGCTAAAAATGAGCTTAATGTCCACTTTAAACCCACACCTGATGGCAAGTGTTGTCTTGCGTGCTCTAGCTTATGTATTGCTAATTTCTTGACACATTTTCTGTCACTGGACTGATGCAATGACTGATATTTATCACCTACAAATATAAGAAGCATTTATTGACCCATGCAGGCAGCTCAAAATAAAACAACAGAGTGTAAATTTGGCTGTTGTTAGCCACCTTTTTTTTTTTTTTTTTTTTTAAGCACCCGGCTGTGAGAGAATGTTCTCATGACCAGGTCAAAGGTCATTAGATTAGTTTGCAGTTCAGTGCACCTGTAAGCGCTTGGATCAGGTTTGTTTTTCCGATAGTGACGCTGGGTGTTAGTTTAGCCTCTTTAGCTCTGTGCTGATTAACCTCAGATAGCAGGGAGTCTCGTTAGCTTGTTTAAAGTGTCTGTAGCCTGCATGTTGTCAACTATACAGACTGAAGCACTTAGTGTAACTGGGTTATAACCATGCTTATTATTAAAAGGTTTGTTGTTTGTGAGCCCTTTCCTCTAAAGACACTCATTCATGATTATCACCATCCTAATACAGAGGCTTAAGAAACCCAGGAGAGCGTTTTTAATTAAATTAGGAGAAATAAGTGAATACTTGTGAGTCAATCTGGGCTGCACCTTTACAGTTTTTGCAATCTCAGAGCTCTCTACAATCTGCCCAAACAGGATATTTTTAACGTGGGAGTTTGTGGGGCTTGACTCGTGTTTTGGAGCCAGCCTCTGGTGGACATTAGAAGCATTGCAGTTTTTGGTAACAGTTCCCCAATTTACAACAGCAATAATCATGTTCACAGCTTTGTAGAAAACCAGGTTTCAGTTCCTTCTATCACCTGCACATGGGGTGAATCTTATTATAATACACCCATCTGGATACTGGAATTAGGGGCACCTGGATTGACAGGTGTCTTAACGCCGGAAGCTTTACCTGTTAACTGTTTGCTAAGCTTCACCTTTGCTGACTTGAGTCACTAAACTGGACCTCTGCACAGTGTTTGTGCTGCAAAAAGCCTGCACGAAGTCATCTCAGACTCAGTTAGCGTGCTAAATGTTAGACTTCATGACAGCACAATTAGAACAGACTGATCAAGTATAGAAATTATTTGAAAGAGTTGCCAGGAGAAAGGCTCTTCTCTCTAAAAAGAACGTGACAGTGCAGCTTAGGTTTGCAAAACTGGAGATGTTTGACCATAATGCACAGCACCACATTTGGAGAAAACCAATCATCACAAGCGCCTCATACCAGCTGTCAGCACGTAGGTGGAGGGCTGACGATTTGGGCACCGTGCAGTCAACCAAGAACTCCTCTGTATACCAAAGTATTCTAGTCAAATGTAAGGCCATCTGTCTGACAGTCAAAGCTTGGCTGAAACTGGGTCATGCAACAGAGCAATGATCGCCAGCACAGCAGCACATCTACAACAGAGTGGCTGAAAAAGGAAAGAATAAAAGTGCTAAAGCGGTCCTAAAGAGAGCTGTGCATAGATGAATGTCCACAAACCTCAATCAACTGAAAAAACACTGTAAAGACTCCACAATCATGTGAGGCTAATAAAGCCAAACAGAAAACAGTTCATTCATATAGATTTATTACAGCTCTGCAACTGTGTCCATCTTTTATATACAGTCCAGATCAGTGTGCGTTATGAGTTGGGGGTTTGACTCCCTGTGTGAGCAGCTCTCCACACCTGAGCGCAACACTGCCCTCAATTGGATCAG